GCAACTGCATCTCCGAGATGTCGTACGATAGCTTGAGATATTCGTACATACCAAGCGTTATTAGCTGAAGGTCTGATTGATTTTCTCGTTCGAATTAATTAAATGTTTGCTATTAATTATTGCTTACTCACAGCATGAGCTGACCTTAATGAAATACGCACAGCATCGTAGAACGGCGTAGTCGGCATATTCATTTATTATTATTACTTTGTATTCTTATGACACATGTCAGATTTTTTGCGAGTAATGGCATAGCATTAATGAAAGTAATTAGCTCGCTCTTGCAATTAGAATTATTGAAATTTGAATATAAATTTCTACGTATAAATTTCGATAAAACCGTCATAAATTTATTTATCCTGCACGTATTCTCAACGAAAGAGTAACTATATTGGATTCTTTTAATATTAATATCCTCAAATGATCAAAGATAGGTTTTATAAGCTACACCATTAGTATCGCGAAAGATGCCGACACTGTACTTATAAAGAATCGCAGCATTCTTACTCTGCCATGTATTTCATCCAAATTTTTGTATCATTTCTGCAGCTAAATTTTCGAAAAATTTTATTTTATTAAATAAGTAAATCTTTAGATCGCTAAAGAAACGGAAGCGAAGTCGCGTAGAAAAACCGAAGCACATTTCATTGAAGTATCTCTTTCCTCTCATTCATCTAATCGCTTCGTTCAATCAAGCAAACTTACACTATAACTGATAATGCTCCCCGCTGTAGTCTGCTTTCCTTCGCACGCTCGAAAAAACGATCGTAATTACAAACGCAATAACGTGTAATAGAAAAAACGGTAGATTCATATCAGCGCCGCAACAGCGTACATACATATTCATACCATAAGCACGACGTCGAATTCCCGCTCATGGTGTGAACCCTGTAGAAAACTCTTTCGTAGAAAATTGACGCTAGGGTAATGTTTTCTTCATTTTATTTTTTTTTTTTACAAGGCGTACTACACGCAGGTTTCCCAGCTAGCAGCTGCCCTAGCTTTCACACGGTGTCACGATATTTTGAGAGACCCAACAAGCACGAAAATTTAAAAATAAATAAAAGAAAATTTAAAATTCTTAATATAAAATTCTAATTAGCAGCAGATATTATTGAAACAGATATGATATAAATTCGATGAGATAGTCGTTTAATGCGACTTCTGATGAGGGATTACCTGCTGCTCTTTCGATCGCGGAGTTTTATGGCTTCTTAAAAAAAAAAAAAAAAACTAGCATGCAATAGCACCATTGCATTCAAGAAACTGTTAAGATCTACGTGATTACACACTTCTATTTAATATTATACAAGAATTACCGCACGCGCGTGTGAGCTCTGATGTGTGCATATTTCGTTGTTTCAATCACATTTGATTTTCGAACAGTTCTAGAAAAACAGACAATGGTAGCGGATCTTCAAATGATACGTTCAATATAGTTAAAATAATTTTAAACGGTCAATCGGAATAATTTTATATATTGCAGTGTTTAATAGTGTGCAATACATAACGGAATAAGAATAAAATATGTTTTTATTGCTAATCGTAATTGTTCTGGGAGTAACCGTGTCACCGTGCGAAAACTATTGAGAAACACTTAACAGCGGATCATCTAATAGCATTTTATTTAGCTTTGGACAGTCGCATGTTTCTTTGTCGATCGTTCTTATAGCTTTTGATCCTTGAAACCGGAAACGGAAATAGTAAGTCTACTTTGAAGGGAAGATCATTTTAAACAGTCGTTCTCATTTAGCATGATATTTAACGAATGAGATTACCGATGAATACTCGAGAGATGTACAATACGTGAAAATTTTGTCCAAGTCTTAAATCTGCTTTAAGTGAACTGCGAGATTGAATATTCTAAAAAAAAAGTACAATAAACGCTATACCAGTCAAGCGTTTTTGCTGAGCGCACTGTAAAAACAATTCTCGCATCCAGCGAATACTTTCGCGACATCTTTCAACAGAACGATTGATATGTGAGATTTGAAACACCCATTTACGATTTCGTATTTTCTTCGCAGCGTCCCATTCTGCATGCTTTATATAGATCGCTACTAAATTGACGCACTTTAATCAGCCTCGGACGACAATTGTATCTAATGCTCTTGTAATCCAGTGCACGCTATCCGGTTAATTTCTTGCAACGAATGTAGACCCGTGTTTCTCGTCTTTTTTTTTTTAAATTTCGGGCTTCCTACTCAATTCATTGCCGGTACAGACACTATATGCGTCCATTTCCGATTTCCGGATCTATTTCCCCTCCTTCTTGCCCTCCCCCCCCCCCCCCTGGTCTGATCCAATATATATTCCGCTGTTCACGCGCGACTTGACTCTCAATACAAAAACTATTCACCTCTTTTTTATTTTTATTTAATAAGTGTCTCACTCTTGTCTGTTTATGGAGTAAGGTTCACACGCCTCAAATAGTCACACGATTTCTCTGTTTAATCCTAAAGAATTATTCTCCTCCGCCTTCTTTTTTGTAGTGCGCTATAGAGATGTGTATCTCCTTACGTACATATTACGTACGGTATTATGTACACGTAATATTTCGTATATGTATGCGAGTAGAGTACTAATACAGCACTTCCTTGCTGCAGTTTCTTTTTCTTTTTTTATCGTTTTATCGACATAAGTAGACAGTGGCTAAATAGTGTCTATCAGTTAGCAGTGGTAGTAAGAGTACAGCTTCCTCTGTTTCTTTTGTATACAATCACTTTGTTCTTTCCCTCGCACTCGTCTCGGAGCACAGTAACAATGTTATATATATTTATTTATAATATTTATATATTAATGCGTACTCTCTTAGGCCCGAACCGGCAGATTAATCCTAGACCGTTCGTACAGATTAAACTATAAAAACGTCGACATGCGGTCTATGACTACTCTACCATTGGAATGTTTTGACCTCTCGTACGCATTCTCTCTCCTTACACTCTCGTGGCTATTATATAGTATTTATATTTATATTTATATATATTGAGTATGAGACGTGTGTTGAAGATGTGTAAATAATGACAAAAAACTATGTCTCTCTTACATGAAAAATAGGTATTTTTTTCTTTTTCATTTTCTCTCTCTCGTTCTCTCTCTCCCTCTCGCACGCGTGTGTAAGTGTTCATGTTTACATATGTATATGTATGAAACGCGCATCTAAACTCTTACGTGAAGATATATGTACATTGATGTATTCGCAATAACGTGTATACGCGTCAACTAGAAAAAACGATTGGCTCACTCCTTTTCAATCGTGCGCCCGCTAATGGAGTCTCGTCATCATACAAGTAAAAATAACATTCGGGCGTTATTTTTAATAGAGGATGATCGATTTACTTCTCACGCAGAAGAGAGCACCGCAATCTCGAATTTGAGAGAAAATAAAAGCGAATAACTGCGTTCGATCGCATGCTTACTAAAGGTCGCGCGAAAGGACGTCCCTTTAATCCTAAAGAGCACAGCCGCGATTTAACATACTCTACTTAAAAGAAATGTGTTAACTTCATTAATTTTATATGTAAAGTGCTGAAAAAAAATAGTCTTCTTTTTAATGAATTTGATAAAAATATGTTTGCTTTGTTGTAATTTTATAGAAATTTAGGAACGTTATGTTGTAACACATGATGCTACAAATATACTTGTGCTCTTCGGGATTAACAAGTAAGGAGCACAGATTAGGATTTATAGTTTTGTGTAAACTAAATAGTACTATAATTATCTTTTAAAAACTTCTTTAGCCGAATGCTAGGAGGTATTTGAAATGAAATATTCTGTTTGATTTCGGTTAGCGTCTATAAAATACGCAAAGCGAGATCGATCGGTATGGTTCAATTGGCCTCGAAGATATTGGTATTTATAAAACGTTATTTAAAACGGAATACAATAGATCAAGCTCCGGGGGGATTATGATGTATAAACTGCTTGTAAGTATCGGTTTAGTTGGTGTCAAACCATTTCGCACGTAGAGCTGAACATTATAGGGTTATCTTGCAACACGATATTTTTAACCACTATGCATAATACTTCATATATGTGTATAACTGTATCATTTTTTTGGTAATTTATTTAGTCGCCTAATTATGCGGTAGTGGTGTAGTAATCATTGCAAGTAATAATCGTAACAATAATAATAATTTATTACATAGTATTTATAGCTTTTTTATAGTACATCGCGTATTTTCTTGTTTTCATTTCATAAAAAGATACTTTGCTCGCATTACGCTTATAATTCATTCATTGACATGTAACCACAGCGGCCCGAAGGACTCTCAACAAGTAAACACAGCCTTCAGGCCCTCGGTAGGATTTGTAGAACCGGTTAATTCTTATAATCGCATTTCAAACTCTCTCTTTTTCTGGATTCGTCCGCGGATTCTTAAACGCGCGCGACCGTAATTTCCTTCTTACCGATCATATTTCTGTACCAGGACGGTCTATCCGACATTGAGTCGCAACATGTAATCATCACTCGCGGCTTTAGTGTCATTATAATATAAAATGAACTGAAACGTAGCAAAATAAAGGAGGATCTATCAAACAAGCGGAGTCATGGAACGCAAACTTATTTCGCATCTGAAATCAGAAAAAGAGCCTTCACCGATAAGATATTTTTAACCCATCTTACGTGAACCTTTTCCCCTTTGTTCTTGTATCTCTTTCCCCGCACGGAGTATTACATTTTTCACTTATTTACACGGCTCTAATGCAGTACGAAGCTAAGGATAAATCGCGTCAACTTAATCGGAGTACTCTGGTCTTACGACGATTTCTCTATGTTAGTTGTTGCTTTAAAAAAAAAGAGCAATCTAATTCTTCACGTAGATTATATTGGTTTTTTTCTTCTTTCCTAAAGTGCGAAACGTCAACTTGCAAAATCACAGAGAATTACGCTCGTTACACTGTTACTTAGGATTATACCTAATTTTTTTCCCCACGATGTGGGCTACATATTCTCTATAAACTTCTAGGCCTGCTCTTCGTCGTCTTTGAGATCTTCATTCTTCGCTGCGTCCATCCATCTTTAATATTGCATCTGATGCGACGCGGCGATTGTTCTCAATGAAGAGACACGGCGTAAAACGTGGCTCCATGTTCTCCAACCGAGGATACAGATATTTCTTTTTTTTTCTTCCTTGTGTTCGTAAAAGATTAAAATTTCGCGATTGTTTGGAGTTGCTTCATCATCATTTTCTAAATAAAAGGAGTTCGAATCAAGTTTGAAAGATAAAGGGGCCTAAAATGTAAAAGTTTTTTTCCTTTATTCTTCAAACCTTTCCTTTCCATCACGGAATTATTTTGCGATATATGTTTCATGAAGACTTTATATATCATTAATAGTATTTATACATTATTGTACTATTTTATTTGTTCGCGGAAATCTGTATCATAGTTGGAGTATAGGACTTGATTTCGGTGGTTTTGCGGTCCTGGACGAAAATGCCGTCAGATTAATATAAGAAGGCGCTATAAATCGATTGCTAAAGGACTACTGGCATGGCCGATATCTATGTATAGACCGCTGCTATAGGATCGCCCTAGCACCGGGCACAAAACCACCATAGTTGTCCTATCGATAAGATAAGTTCTATCATTCTTCCAACATGGAGCCGTTAGTATCTCTGCATATGCTAGTAAAACGAGTGTCGTCATTGATACGAATCTTTGTGGAAAGTGTCGCTCTTGTGAAAGATCCTCCGTCCTTCCCTCGTAAGTTCTTGGCTCGCGAAATTGTTCTCAGACTTTGGTCTGGGCAAGAGGCAAGCCGGCAGCGTTCTGAGCTCCATACTATGTACCTGAAATGACAAATTTTATTAAGATGACACGCATATGTATCTATTTATTTCTATAAAGATACGAGAAATTGCAGAACATTATTTTATTTATACTATTCGTCCAGATTAAGAATAAGTTGCAATCGGTAAGATTAAGATATGTCGAGAATAATAATGTATTTTTTCTTTTGGTTGAGAGAAGAAATGCCATAAAAAAAGGCATGTATTCATAGCTTAATTATAAATTTTACAAATGCCATTTATTCGTGTACTTACTGATTCTTCACTGGCGCTGGCATGCGCGGCCTGCTCCGCGAGCGCATTTACTACGGCGTTTATCGTTTTTGATTCGCTGCCAAGATCTTCCTCGCGATGAGCCACCAGGTTAGGATTCTTCCCAATTTTGTTTAACCTACAAGGAAAGTATGATTAAGCGTAGGGAATGTCGCACGGGACATAACCGACTACTATTCACACCAAATTCTAAACCACTTAGCAGCACAGTGATTCGTCCCTTTCGTGGCACTTTATAACACCCGCCGCTTATCTGTACTCAACAGCCATTATTATTTGTTTCGATACTACTTGCACTGCTAAAGGTAATCGAATGAAGTAAACTAATAAAAAAATCACTTATTTTTGTCACACTGATCATGGAATTTTGAATAATACGCGAATATATGAAACAAATAATAAAATAATAAACGATCTATTAAGACCGTATATGTGAATACATAACAAATAAGAGTATAAAGCCTGTATCGAAGCTGGATTTTAGATGCTTAAATAATTTTCATGTGAATTTATTACACCATAAGTAATCTTTTGAATTGCGCGCCGAATTAATTGTTTTAAATGACTACATATGTGGTATATAAATTTACATGAAAATTATTTAAGCGTTTAAGATCAAGTTTCGATCGTTATAGGCTTTAGACTTTTATTTGTTGGGTAAATAATAAAATAGTAATCTCGATAATCAATATTTATTTAAGAAGTTTTTGTAGCTATTTTATTTTTATTTTTAATTATTAATAAAATATTTACAAACTATAAACATATGATTGCTATTGAAAATATTTTTAACAACAATTGTGTTTTTATAGCTTGTAAATATTTTAGCGGAAATCTCGTAACACTGAGAGAAAATAATTTATAATACAATTCTTTGTATAATCAAGTCTGTATAAAATTGATTTATATGTGGACGTGTGACAAAAATGATATTTCAAATAATTTGTAAAATATGTTATGCCAAATTATAAATAGAACATTATCATGTAATGAATGTGTCGAGAGTGTAAAACTTTTGTCACGATGTTGAACTACAATTGTTATTTATTCACTCGGGTAATATCCGATTTCATGAAATATGCACTATATCGGATATTTTCCCTTTCATGCATGTGAATATAAAACGAATTCCGGTTATTCGAAATATCGTTGTATTAAAGATATTTCGAACGGATTTAACCCTCTCAACTCATTATAAATATCAGCTGAATTCCGTAAAACGCATGATGCGCATGATGTGTAATTTTATCCTTGTTTAACATATGATAAACAACAAGAATAAAATGATACATTATGCACATCATGCGCTTTATAGAACGCAGTTATAAGTTAGTGCGCTTTTATCATAAATTTGTCTCAAATTCTTCCCAACTCCCCAATTATCTCGCTCAAAATTCATAAAATAGCCAATGAGCGACAATACATCTCTTTAAATTTTTCCTTCGATAAATATTTCATTGACGTATATGTGTGTATGTGTGTGTAAAACAAGCGTCGAATTCTAACAAACACATACAAAAATCGGTATGTGAGGCGAGAGCGATATGATTTCCATAGGCAGCAAATGACTGATCTCCGTTTTGTCGGACAGTACGAAATGCTCAAATAAAGTAGATGGGAGTGGGAGTGATGATTGACATCTATTAGCACACCAACTCGATAGAACAAACCTAACCAAAGCTTATACCTCTCGGCGGCAACACTCTCCATCGTTCTGCGCATTAGGGGATACTGGTCCAATACGGCGTTGAAATGGTCCACCGAGAGGCTGAAGAGATTGCAGTAGGTCTCCGCTCGGACCGACGCCACCCTTCTCGCGTTTGTCAACAGACAGATTTCGCCGAAGTAAGACCCGTCCGATAACGAGGTCGCTACTTCGCCGTTTGCCATCACGATATCGACTATACCTTCTTGTATGAAGTACATTTTCGAACCGATTGTACCCTCCTTAATGATGATATCACCTACAAGTACGTTACACGCTTGAATATCACGCACGATTCCTGAGCGACGCACGAGAAGATTCCTCCTCGTGTTACGCCCAGACGTTTTATTTAGCGAGTAGCAAACGCATTTATGACACTTGATACCTGGCTGGAAGACTTCGTATCTGAGTTTCGTCACGACATCCGAGACGAAATTCGAATCGGCGTTGGCGAAAAAGGGCACGGACGCCACCAGCGATCTGCAGTTGTAGTTTATCACATCCTAAAATGAGGCACGATTTCAATAGACACATCTGCATTTTCTTTAATCTAAATATGGTGAATCTTTTCGATGCCTTCTAAAAAATCGATATTGATGACTATGTTGAATATTAATATTATCAATTGGAAGGAATGTGAAAGATTTCTTAGATTTTCTATCCGCTTTCCCTGAAATATTTTCTCGATATATAATAATATTTTCTCAAAATAAGTTTTTTTCTAGAGACCGATACTGTGTTGAATATTAATAGATTTATTCACGTTGCTTGAATTCTCAAAAGAATTTGCCTATAAAATAAAATAAATATATATTCATGGGTTGAAAAGAGAGAAAGCGAAGATTCTGAATGCAAAAAGTGCAAGCAACTCGAATAGTTTAATATCATTAGAAAGGATGAGATTTCTTGGATTTTCAATTTCACAATTATCAAAATATTATACGTATATTATTTTTAATCTCAATTAAATTTTTAGTCTCAATTAAATAAAGTGTTTTATATGAATCCTATCGTACTTCTCTCAATTTTTCCGACAGCTCCCCGAGGATCAGTTCCTCATCGAAGAACTTTCCTTGATACCGATGTTCGAAGTACTCCGTGATCCTCTGCCTCATTTCTCTCGGTAGTTTTCGATAGGCCATGTATTCCTCTACTTGTTTCACCTACGAACAAGTCAGACGGGGAATTAAATTCCGGCAAACTCCGAGCGAGTTACTCTCGCGCGTATTGCCGTTGTTATAGATGTGTTATCTACCTTCTCGCGGTATTGTCTTCTCGAGGAATCGAGAGATTGAATGAGATTCGTCGCGTGTCCGAGGAAAAGAGCGTAACACGTCGCACCGCTGATCATGCTGAGCATGGTGAGCCACATATCGGTCAAGGACTGTGGCGGAAACCTACCGTACCCGATACACAGCATGTGCGACATGGCTTTGAAGAGGGCCCACGAGTATTGTTCCAGCCAAAATGAGTCCTGCAAGTAGGCGTCAGGTTGTAACACGGAAATACATTTTGCAAATCGATCGCTAATTTTGGCACAAAGTGCACAGCGTTTGCGCGGAGCTTCGCCCGATTTCTTGCTCCTTGAAAAGTCACTTCATGATTGCTAAACCGCCAAATAACTTTTACGCGTTAATCGCGTACAGTTTATTACTTATTTTTATATATTGAAAAAAAAACACATTTGTTTATAAATAATTTAAAAAATTGGTTAAAATCAAATAATTTGTAGAAGAAGAGAAATTAATTGATGGTAACGAGGATAATGAAAGTAAGTTGAATGAATGTTGAGCTTTAGAAAAAACGGCATTAAACAATTAAAAAAAACGATATATTAAATAATTTTTAAAAGAAAAGAAATGAATTGTAAGAATGTAATAAAAGTAAATTGAATAAAAGTGAATTTAGTGAAGTGAAACCGATGTTAAACAGATTATTTTTCAATCCTGGAATTGTATACATTTAGTGATTATTAAAATCGTAAACAGTGTATTGAAATACACTGAGAGAAATGAGTTTGTTATTAAAACAGTGATAACAAATGTTATTAGAAAAGTGATAACAAATGTGATGATTTGACAGGAAAACGAATCGATCAATTATTATTGCGAATCATTTCTCATTATTCGTCAATGTAACAAATAATACATGATTTATACAAGACAAATCACGTTTGTATTTGTCGTTGTTTGTACCTTTTATAAATAATCAGTATGGCAAATAAAAATCTATCCAGCAGATACATGATTGCTTTTATTACTAATAATAATTGATTAGAATAGCAGACTAGCATCAGTCTTCATGATAGAAAAATCTTGTATTTTCAGTACCGACATTTGTTATCACTGTATCTACAAATCATTCGTTGCAAGTACTGGTAGTTTGTTAAATTAACAAAATCTTTTTTCTCAGTGTAATATCGTTGATTACTCACTTGTAACTCGTTAATGGCTACCCATGAATTACTGGGAAATCCTTGAAGCATAGGGACCAGGAATTGCAGGCAGCCACTCCAATGGCCGATCAGAAGCATCATACAGATCAGGTTAAAAATCCGCATGAACACCGACGCCATATTCAGGAACTGCCAACAACAATGTTAAGAGTTTTATTCTCGTGCCGAATCGGGCGCGTCGGAATGTTTCTCACACGGTTTTTTTAAAACTTCTCTTGTTTATCCAAAGCTCCGATTGCGTAGTGTACAGCAAGTAAGCGAGTGTTGCACAAAAACGCGGTAGATATATAATTCATCGAATACAATTGGTTCTATTACTGTTTTTGCTCAGATTTAGGAATAATGAGTAAACTACGTGATTGAATCCGCCACTAAGATCCGATCGTTTATTGATAATTATTCAACGAATATTTTGGTACAAATTCTGTAGAAAATAAAGCTATTTTTATTCTTTAACTAGTCATTTATGCGCTTATGAGAAAAAAACAGCAAATTTTTAGATAAAACCGTGTTTAAAATCGAAATTCAAGATTTTTTGCGAAATTTTAAATTATTTTTAAACTAGTTTCTTGCTACTTAACAGAACATTTGGTTAAAAAATCTTCACTGTAGACAAAATGGATAAGTATGAATCAATGTTCAAATTCAGATCTTAGCGCAGATATAATAGTGTCTCAAAATTCGCGAATCAAAATGCTATAGCAAAAAGTTGTCAAAGGAATAAGTTGCGATAGTTTTTAGGACATTAAGATTAAAAACTAGTCAATCATAAATTATAGTTAAACGATCTATTCATGAGTCATTGGTCGATAATATTAATTGCGCATGTTACACAGACAATAAACAAAAGATTATGTGCATAACATCCATATGTGTTGCGTATAAGGTTTGTTGCGAATTAGTTGATGTTGTTAATAAAAATGTTACGAATAATATAAATTGATAATTTATCGGAATTATATCTCTACTACTAATTTGTGTATCATATCAATAGGAGATATAAATAAGATATAAATAATTGCTAAGTGACATACATACGAGCCATTATTTTATTACAATAATTCTAATCTTTTTTTATTTTATGTATCCTTTGATTCTCTTTAGTCTTTAATTAATCGAAAATTTCATTAAAAATTTTTTAAAATTATTTTACGTCAATATATTAATGTTATTGCGCGCGTAAATAATTTGTTTAATTAAACAATTAAATTCTAGATAGTTGATTATTTATTAATTATTTATTTGTCTTTATTAGCTGTACGATATCTCGTATTGCATATATTAATTTTCATCGTTTATTATTCTTATTTTTGTAAATAAGTCAATCAATAAAAATAATTAATTGTTTGACTGATATTCACTATAATAACAATTATATAGAGATACTTAAAACGTTCCATATTTGTTTAATAAAAAAATCGTTAACATTTTTTTAAATTTTTGATTATATTGGCTTAATTTTTAATCCCTAGAAATACAAATGAGTATTTTATTAATGAAATTTAAATATAATTCACTCATATAACAAAAAATATGTATGTAAAAACACTTTCACAATAAATATAAGAAGAAAAAAATGTACTTTTTTATATCAAGCACACTAGTGAAAAAATTACAATATTTTTAAATTAAATATTCACTTGCGTATGCCATATCTACGATATTTTTTTAAGCCCTCACTGTTTTAAAATTTTTGTATGACTAATCTTGTGTTTTGCATCACAAATAGAGTAAGCCTTAATGTTTTTTTAACTTGTCATAATAGTCAACAAATTACAGAAATATCAACGTTGGAAAAAAAATTGAATATATCCAGAAAAATTTAAATTTATAATTTATAATTGAGCGAAGTTTAATCAGTTAGTTCAAAATTATTGAAATGTAACGACAAACGAAATTATTTCACTTTAAAATTCGCATAGTTATAAATCAATATGCAACGAGATATGCACGTAAGTAAATAGTAAGTAATATATTATTAATATTACGTAAATAATAACGAGTAGTTGTAATCAGTATACTTTTGAGAGAAAAAAATAAAATAAATTTTGTTATTTAATTTAAGACGCAACGAACGGTATTATATGGACATTATATACGCACACAATCTTTTGTCTGTGAATGAAATGCGAGATCATTAACAATGTTGATGTGCGATTCACGGACACGGACCTTTAATCGTAATTGGCTAAATCTATAATTTAAATTTTTATATCTTAAAAATCATCTTGCTGTAGTATTTTAATTCATAAATTTCGGAATACACTGTATAGTCTGAGTGAGAGTGTCACACTTTTCCTATGTTGTCATCGTCGTTCTCACACTTTTGAGATTCTTTCTTTTTTCGTCCGTTAAGAAAAGCATGCTACATTAGAAAATACGCATCACGTGGCACACAAAAGAACAATTCAATGTAACCTAAAACGTTGATAAATAACTGGTTATTCTACGAATGCTCTAACAAAAAATATCAATCATTTGCAACTGGTTGGGCCAAGATTCTCAAACCGCTTATGCGCCAAATGTTCATGATAATATGACGTACACAAAAAGGAAAAAAAAAGAGCCAAAATCAATCGACGCTCTATCATGACGTCGATATAGTCCGTTCGGTTCCAAACGTGAATTACAAATTGTTCGGCTCCAACGTGCGCAATAAGTACGATATGGGAATCCGTCCATAAAATAAAAAGCTGGAGAACACGCGGAGAACGTACCGACATGGCTAATTTAGCGAGTTAAACCCCTTCGAGATTCCGATCCATATCTTATTTTGATGATTATCTTTCATGGAGAACTGCATCTTGCAGTTTTCTCGATAATTAATACGCACAATTAAGTAATTTGTTTTTTCTTTTCCTGGTAATTGTGCATTGAAGTGGAATATTAACAGAGATATGTACAATATACAGTCTTGGAGATGCTGGAGAGACCACATTATCGACATTAATAAAAATCTCTGAATTAATTAAACGCAAAAATTAGGAGGTGGTGCAACGGACTTTATACTAAAATCGAAAAAAGTTAAAACTTAACTTTTTTTCAATTTTAATATAAAGTCCACTGCACCTTTTAATTTTGCGTCTATTTTAATCCTAAAAAAAGATTTTTTATTTTGTCCAGACAATTTGGAAATTTTTATACGACTGTAATGTCGATAATTTTGTATCCAAAATCCAGCATCCCCATTCGTTAATGATAATGATAAATCCAAATTTCTGAAATCAGGTATATTTTGACGTTTATTTTTATATACGTACGAATTTTTATAAGAGATTTTTATACGTAAACAAAAATTTATTCAGAAGTTAATTTGATTTTATTTGTTATAAGGATCGGCAAAAAACGATTGATAATACTCGAAGGGTTGGTGGAGTCGGGTAGTCTCAGCGTCCTCCTATTAACCGAGAAATAAGGATAGAATTATCTAAGGATCATTGAAGGTATCATGAAGTGCGACTCATGTTCATGTATGTACATAATGTATGTACATATGTGGCGATGACATATATATCTGCTTCCGCACTCGTATGCGTGCGGTACTCGCAACGAAATACGCGATACGCGCGCTGCAATAATGACTGTGTCATGCACCGTATTTGGTCTCTGATGTTTGAGAGATTCCGTTCGGATACTCCGTCGGTGGCGCAAATGAATTTCCGACACAGAATATTGCGCCGTCGACGGGGCATGTGCGAAGAAAATTCTCCCGAACCCGTTATGCGGCGACAAACTGAAGTTTCCGAAGTTAAACGCGCTTGCCCAAACACCCGCAAGTAGTTAAGATCTTCAAGCTTTCTCTTTTTATCGCTCACCATATCTATCATACTCGATACACTTTCGTGCTCTTATAACTTACGGAAGTTTGATACTCTCGCGAAAAGAAAATTCTTGCACTCATCTCAGATGAAAAATTTGTGCCGGTTAATTTATTAATAAATCTAAGCGACAGTAAAGCGAGGAATAGGTGAAGCTGTTTACGAGGTTCTTGGGCAATCGCGGTATAATGATCTTGAAATCGTACGGCAGTGGGACCTGTCCCCCTGTATAACAGTTAGGTAATTATTCTTGCACTTAAACCGCAGAAATGATAGAGCCATTGCAGTACCGACAGTAATGACATAAAATGACGTATAATAAGCTCAAATGTGTTATCTTGTTGAAGATAACTTAGTTTCATGCATTTTGGAAAAATTCCATACAATGTTGTCTTTATTTTGTCATGATAAAATTGCAGCAATAAATGCTTATAAATCTTATAAGCGAAAAATATGTAATTCAAGTTACATTTATAATATGTTGTTTTTTAACAATTAGGCTACTTTAAATTAAATAATCAGAATTTCTTTTTATACTTCAATAATAAAATATTCATAAGAAAAATTTAATTAATTGTATCAAGTTGGCTTGCATAGCTTCATCACTTGTGCGATTACGCCGGAAACCTAGTTGTAAAAGAGTCGCATTTACAATTATCGTAGACATGGCTATTAATAGATGCAACAATGTAAAAGGCGACGAGAGATGCATCGATGCCCAATCGCCGTAGGATTTCGATGAAGGGCGGAGATCTGGTTATCTAAATACGGTAAAATATATTAGGGATACTGGCTAGTATCTATCGGGTGTTATGATATATACTCCATGGATGATGATCAATGGTAACTGTTTCTGCGCCTACGGGAAACAAGTAAGAAAACATAGGAAACTTACGGGCTAGACCACATATAGCTCAATACATTACCTGGTCTACAATTAAAAAAGATCGTGTACACGTGGAGTACACGGTACACACGCGCACGCATACATATATTGTCGATGTCTAATGAGAGATGCGACGTATATGTACGTGCGTGGCGTGGTTTCAAAAATTAACAAGAATAAAAAGAAAAGAAAGAAGAAAGAAGGAAACACAGAGTAAATGATACACTGTAACTCAACATCAACCTTCTCTTCTACGAGACAGTCACAGGTCTAGTAAAGATGAAAGCTTGATTCTGTTATGTCTCCACGATATGATTAATGAACAATCAACGATCAATGAGTCAGCGCACTAATTAACGGATGGCGATTTGTAAGTGGCAACAACAAACGCTCTAAAATGACACCGGAACAAAAGTGAGTACTGCAAACTAAAGGCACAACAGAGAACAACCGAGACGAGGTACGGGGTTTACGGAAGATAAATGTTTGTCGTGAGGGTGAAAGAGTTCCTCGCATTTCGGCCGAGACGAATTTGAGTGATCATGAGCGTAATGAGGGACGACGAACAAAACGCAGCTGCCAAACGTTAAGTCTCGCGCAAGCCAAGCCACACGAAGCGAGAAAGCGAAGTGCCTTCGCTCCTCTGTTATGTCTTCGTTTTTCTTTTTTTTTTCCCGAATTTTCAAGCACATTGATAGCCAGCGATATTACACAGATAAAAGTGCACTTTCTCGGCCGAGAAGCAGCGATAGAGAGCGAGGAATGGGCAGCGACAGAGCGGACAGCGGTGGGTAAGACGCGCGGCTGGCGAGGGTGGTTACAAGGTGAAAATCAGTTTGCAGAGCAGCGGTAGGGGAAGATAAGCGAGCTCTCTACTTTCATATACATTGCACCTAATTGTTATTCCGTTAGCGCTCGCACGTGTGGTCTGTATCCATTTTCCTTCTGCGTCTTTATGTCTAAGGTAGCGATGCACACCTCGGGTACGTGGTTGATATACAGTGTGCAATTTGCAACAAAGCGACAGAGAAGGGACGCCCAATTACGTGCGCTCGTTTTCACAGGATCGTGCACACCGTCTAGCGATCAAAAGCGTTTCACAAGATAGTGCGTGGAAACACAGGCGGTTTACGGTCGTCCATCGGGGTCATGGGACGCGGAAGGATCGGAGGGAAAAGAGAGGGTACAAGACGGAAGGATCGAGAAGACGTAGATGATACAACAAACAGTCAAGTAGTAAACGAGA